AAAATAATAATAATAATAATTATACAATATCGGAATAATAATCTAATAAAATAATAAACGGTTCTATAACAATATAATTATATCAAACATTTACTGTACAGGGTTGTATACAGTATCCTAAGTATTTTACAAAAAAGCTGGTCTAGATTGAATAATACCTCCAAATATCGAAAGATGAAAGGATAACACAAATAATCGTTACTGATTATTATATACTTTGTTATTAAACATATCAAACTAAATGAAAGGATCGCACTATTAATATGAAAACTAGACTACAAATCGCTTATAAAAAAAAGGGAGATACTATTCTAGAAGTACTATATGCAGCACTATTGTTTACTGTGATAGATAAAAAGCAAAATACACAATTTTGTTTTTTTTATTTGTTGGTTAACTTATACTACATTGTATTTAAAATGTATATATAGTTAGATGAATTGTATGCATGCATCATATATCTCAAAATATAAGATTAATGCTTCCAACTATTATAATTTTTTACATTCACAAGTATGAGAATTATACCCAACACCTTTACAATAACTGCATACATATTTACTACTTTTCTTCTTATGATCATTTTGCTAGTTTGCTTTTTCAGATCACTTATCACTATTATTTCTACAATTCAATTTATTTATCATAAATCATGAATAAAAAAGCTGCTATCATAATAAATACAACAAACTAAATTACTTACTTATAATTTGAATCTTACAAATTTTTAGTAGCAGTATAAGTTTTACCTTTACTTTGATATTTAGAAATGGAGTTTTCAAATGCACTTTTGATATGTTTTTTAGGTGTACCTTTTGTATGAGTTAAATAAGGATTGCTTATATTTGGCAAATTCTCCTTGTCAGGCTTATTTAAATTGTAATGAATCTTTCTTTCTGTCTTCTTAATCCAATCTTATAAGAGTTTATTTAATTCGTTTTCATAACCAGTTTCAAGAGCCAACTCAACAGCTTTTTTTGCATAGCCAAAGCCTTAGTTATATTTTGTCTGATGAGTTAGATTCTGTTTAACAGTTTCTGAGATTGCTTGTGTATGCCGAATCTCATTAAGAAAGCTATAATTTATTTCAATTGGATGCTCATATATAGGTTTACTACCATCCTTTTTACTAGCAATAGTAATTACAGTTTCACTTTGAGAGTCTAACATTGTTTCTTTGTATCATCGTATCAGAATAAGACTAATATGAAATATAGCTTTATCTGAATTAAGCATTACAGAAAAAAAATAATAGCAAACAAGCCCTTTTGTTACAAAATTTATACAGGTGTACAAATGACTAGCATTTTTGTAAATTATCACAAAATGTTCTTTATTTTGTTCAATTGTCATTACACGCCAAACCTCCTGGATAGTAAATCGATCAATACATTTAATTAATAAATTCAAGTTTGTTATAACAAGTTCATAACTATCCTCAGCAAATTCTATATCATTTGCTACTTCAATTGGTTTATAATGAACTTGATTTTTAGTAATTTGATCCTCATGGGCAATTAAAATTTCCAATTTATAATTTTTTCAATACGGTATAACAAGCATTCATTCATTTGATGATGCTGCATTTTTAATACTCATGGATTAAGATAATTCTTGAGAGTTATATTAATTCGACTAAAGTATCTATCTATAATATTAGGTAATCTAACAGTCAGATTTTGGTTAATTTGGTTATTATATTCAAATTGTTTTTCTCTATCAAGCTGCAACTGAATCTGTACATCTAATTCATATAATATTATTGAAGTTTTAACTGATCATTTAATTAATAAATTGTAGCTTTCAATTTGTTGCATTGATTGAATTCCACCATTAAAAAACCTATGAATATAACATAAAGCCCAACTAGTAACATCAACACCAAGGGCATATTCAAGATACTTTCTTGCTTTTAGATACTTATTGAGTAGATTACTTTATTGCTTCTTAAATTCATACTCTGAAAAACTGTTATGGCATTTATTCCACATTATTATAAAATCTGAATACTCTTCGTAAAGTTTTCCTTTAAGATTTTTTTCAAGGTTCTTATGTATATGCTATATACAATAATTATGTTTTGTAGAAGGAAGGATCTCATGAACAGCCGCGATCATACCAGGATTTGCATCTATAAACAATACTTTTGAAGCAAGACCACCTGTGATACATAGCAAACACTATAAGATCCATTGATAGGTTTCTTTTGTTTCATCAAACACAACAGCTGTTATAGTCATTCAGGATCGTACATGATTGTCTACAACAATAGTAAGTGATAAATATATATAATATTTATTTGTATGAGACGTATTGTCATTAATTACAATATTGTAAAATTTTTGTTATAAATCAATTTAGAATGATTTCATCTAAAATAAACTGATAAAGTAATTATCTTCCTCTTCTAATCTTGCTTCAACAAACCACCCATGCTCTTCATGTTGTAATCACATCAATTTTTCATATGTCTTAGCTGCATTAGTCTTTATCATTTCTTTATTGTATCTAAAATGGCAGATTGCGTTATATATAGTTTTTGGACTAATTGTAGCATTAGGAAAATGTTTTTGAAGTCCACAAATAATGGGACCTGCATCACAGCCAATTTTCACAAAGAACTCAATCTTTTCAAGCATTTTAGGCGTGTGATGACAGAACTTTATTCCAATATCTTGTACAACTTTAGGTAATAGATGATTATGCTTTGGAGATATTGACGTAACTTATATAATGCCATCAGAAAGATAAAAATTAACTTTCTATAAACAGCTAATTTTTATACTTTTGCGTTCATGGTTTTCTTCTGTATCAGCCTTTTTTGGCTTTGTGCTCACCAAAATGTTTGCATTCTAAAGTGCGACATACGATTTCACCACCCTTGTTTTTTTGAGTTTGGTATTTTACAACTTCAAAACCATTTTCTATCACATAATTTTCAACATGTTTTATAGCTAGGTCTTAGTTATCAAACTTATCGTCTAATAAAAAATTCAACTTTGTAAAGCCATTGTTACATATAATAAAATTATTATACAGTATAAACAAATACCTATTTCAAGACTAAACATCTTATAATTGGTTTGATTTTCATTATCTATGTTCATATTTATATCTGTATCTATATCTATATCCATATTTACATATATATTCATATCAATATCTATGTCTATATTCGTATTCACATCTACATGCAATAAGGTAGTTCTCTCAAATTCATATTGTAAATCATTAATATCATTCTCTTCTTCCTCTTCTGAGGTATAAACTTCCAAAAAAGAGCGCTTGCAAATATTTTGATTTATTATTTTTTTTTTTTATAAAAAGCGCTACTTATTAAAATATTTGTAATAACCGAATTTCAGTTCTTAAATATGTGGGTAGTTTGCTTATATAGAGTTGATTATTGATCACTTATTACTTGATGACTGTGATAGTATAAGTATGCTTATTACTAAGTTAAATGCTTGTAGAGTTGCTGATATTGTTAAGGCTTATATACATAAATCTACACGAAAACTCACCTTTACTGCTTCAACTATGTTCATCAACTACTCCTTATTGTTAACCTATAACAATATTAGCTTTCAGCTTCACACCAAGTAATATAGAAAAA